TGATTCACTGAGATACTTCTGTAATGTGGTGAGCCAGAGGTCACACCCACGTAACTGGACATGCATCTTCTAGGGCTGATGGAGCCTCTTCTTGGAAATCTCCCATCAGTGGTGGCAATACGGCATGTGATGGCATAAAAGAGACCCACGTGGTTTGATAGTGTCCATAGCCCTGGATGATACCCTGTCGACCGCATGGACTTTCTGCCCTCATCTGTATTGGGGTAGTGCCTCAGATCCCAGGATGCTGGACCAGGCTCTCAGAGAGCGGGATGTAGAACAGACCAGGAGATCCCCTGCTAACTAGGAAAGGGGTCTGTCCAGTTGAGGCCAGGGCCTCCTGTTGAGGCCCAAGAGCCTGGGCAGCTCAGATCTAGAGTAAGCAGTGTGGCCCCACGATGGCTGTAAACTTGATAACCGAGGGCAGGATCCAGGCTCAGAAGCTCAGTCGCAATGCCTAGAAAATCACAGGGACGGCACAAAGCCTGAGTTAGGTGCTGGGCTCCCTATGTAACACATGGGTTGCTGGTTGCCACCCACAAAAGCCAGCTGTCAGTCCGGTGAGTGATTCTCTCTGGGAGTCCTACGGTGTAGCTGTTGGGAGAATGAGCGAAGCCCCTGCCTCATGCCGTGCAGGGGTGTTGTGGGTAGAGATGGTTGTACTGTGTTGGGACCAGAGCTCTCTGGGTAGTGGGAGACAGGGCCCCTTCTGCCTGAGGGGAGAAGGTGGGTCTCTCACCTGAGGGCTCCGACCGCTGAGGGGTATTCTCACACGGGGCTCCCTCAATCTCTTCTGCTGTTCATTGTCGGCAATAGCTGAGGGGCCACCGGGCTGGGGAGAGGAAGGGATTCTGTGGGCTGTTTAGGATATCCCCTCAGAGGTGGAAGACCTAGAGCAGCGCTGGGCAGCTTGCGGCCCAAGGCACCTCAAGGTTTTGTGTGTGGTGTGTGAAGAATTTTGTTTACCATTGCGGTCTAGCAGAGTTGCCAAACTCCGCTGGTTTCCATCCATGCTGTGTGTGTCCCGCCCGCCCTGGTATTGCTAAACAGACGCTTGTGAATCCAGGGCTCTGTTTAGCGAGCGGATTGCACACAACCTTGTCTGGGAGTCCTGCGTTCCCTCTGCATCCTATCATAGAGCTGGAAAAGATCTCAGGAGGCCATCAAGTCCAGCCCCCTGCCCAAGGGAGGACCCATCCCAAGTAAATCAACCCAGCCAGGGCTTTGTCAAACAGAGACTTAAACACCTCGAGGGATGGAGATTCCACCCCCTCCCCCAAGGGAACCCAGCCCAGCGCTTCCTCACCTGCCTAGGGAAATAGTTTTTCCTAATATCCAGCCTAGACCTCCCCCACTGTAACTTGAGCCCATTGCTCCTTGTTCTGCCATCCGTCACTACTGAGAACAGCCTCTCGCCAGCCTCTTTGGAATCTCCCTTCAGGAAGTTGAAGGCTGCTCTCAAATCCCCCCTCGCTCTTCTCTTCTGCAGACTAAACAAACTCAAATCCCTCAGTCTCTCCTTATAGGTCACACGCTCCAGCCCCCGAATCATTTTGGTCGCCCTCCGCTGGACCCTCTCCAGTGCGTCCACATCCTTTGTATAGTGAGGGGTCCAGAATAGGACACAATATTCCAGATGTGGCCTCACCAGAGCTGAATAAAGGGGAATAATCACTTCTCTGGATCTGCTGGCAATGCTCCTCCTAATGCACCCTAATATGCCCTTAGCCTTCTTGGCTACAAGGGCCTGTTGACTCATATCCAGCTTCTCATCCACTGTATCCCCAGGTCCTTTTCTGCAGAACTGCTACTTAGCCAGTCGGCCCCAGTCTGTACCAATGCTTGGGATTCTTCCGTCAAGGGCAGGACTCTGCACTTGTCCTCCTTGAACCTCATCCAGTTTCTTTTGGATCAATCCTCTGATCTGTCCAGTGTTATTTGCAGACTTGCTGAGGGTGCAACTCGTCCCCTCCTCCAGGTCCTTCATAAAGATGTTGAACAAAACCGGCCCAAGAACAGATCCTATCAAAGTGCTGCTACGGTTCAGTCACAGACCCTGCCAATCTAGACATGCCAGTGCAGGGAGCAAAGCTACCTTATCCCGGGAGACCGTCCTCGTTATGACAATGTTGAGGGCTATTCATGCGGCCTGCTTGCTAGCCTAGGCTGCCCATCGCTGACCTACAGTCTAATCCTACCCCTGTTCCAGTCAGCTTCAGCAGGCGGAGGGAGTCCCGCTGTTGCCCGGTGGTCAGTGCTCTCCTTAGAGGTGCAAGACCCGTATTCAAATCTTGCCATTTGCTTTCTTAGAGAACAGTGTTCCCTATAAGCTGTGTGAACACTGTGTGCTTGGGCGGGCAGCCAGGAGAGGTTCAGATGCTGCCCAGTTGATTAGCAGAGCGCTCACAGCCGGCACCATGTGTTTTCTATTGGTGGTGCACATTGGCATGTGCCTTGGTACACGGAACAAAATTCCACCTGCACATGGATGGAAAAAAATAGAGGGAGCATTGGTAGAAAGGGGAATGAAACCTGGGTTTCCCGCACCCATGGCGAGTATGCTAACCACTGGGCTGAAAGTGTTAATGTGGCCTTGATCATCGCCACTCTTCCTCATCTTTCAGCCAGATTTTGACTAGGCCTGTCAGCCGACGGTCAGGGCAGTGAGTCCCTTATGACCGGCTGAAGTTCTTTTAAATTGTGCTTGGTTCTGTTACAGCAACTGAAGGAGTCAGGTTAAAGCTTAAACAGTTACTATTTATTGTTACAGGGTAAACTTAGTTGTTAAATGCTACTACTGTGTTACAGATAACACAGACACTACAAAGGACAGGACAGAAATTACACTAAGAAGTCACTTACAGGTACCATGAAACCCTTTGGTTCTCTGAGCTCTTATTAAATGCATGCAAAATAGACACATAGCAGGTATATATTCTCACCCCTGCATTCCAGACTTGGCGTGGCCAGCGTCTTTCTCTCAATCCCTCGGGAAGAAGTAGGGCGAGGTTGGGCATCCCACAGACCTCGGGAGACAATCAATACCTGCCAGCAGGTATAGATGATTGGAGCTCAAATAGGGTGGGCTGATGAACCTATTTTATACCCCTTGGGTCATGTAGGCTTCTTCCTGGGCTCAAGTGGCCATTAAGGAAAAATGGCTTTGAATGCCAAGTTTCCCACGAAGGGTGCAAAGCATAATTTACACCTGGGAAAATGCAGACAATGGGCACCTCTGGTATGTGATGGGCGAAGATTCCTCTCTGGGACAGTGCAGGCGTGTCAATTACTGGTGCTAGCCATCAGGGCGACGGGAGGCCCCGGGTCGTCAGCTAGCCCATTTACTGTCTGGGTTCTGTTTATGGTAGAGTCAGGGACAGGCAGCAAACCTGTGTTCCCAGGGCATCAAAGGCTGACTGCCTTTCTCTTGCTCTCGGGGGGGGGGAAACAAGATGGGGCTCGTGGAAAAACAAGATGGGGTTTTGTGTCTGGCTACAAGGCCCCTCTCCTGTAGGCAGCCTCTGAACCCGATTCCTGGCTTGGGCTCTGCAGGGAAGATAGCTCAATCAACTGGCGGAAGATAGATCTTTGCCTTTCTCGGGCTCAGACGTCTGGGTTCAGGGACGGAGACTTAGTCACCTAGGCAATGTCTCTGCAAAGTCTTAAGCACTGGGAAGGCTTAGGTGCTTCCGGGTTAGGTGGCCGCCAGGTGTGGATTGCAGTGGTGCATAAAGTTGGAACGTAGGCACCTAGCACCGAAGTCTGGGGCCTTAGCTGTCTTTGTGGGTTGGAGCTCAAGTCTTTCTCCTTTAGGTCCTGCAGTGGCTTTGAGTATTCAGAAGTATTTGTTGCCCGTAATGCCTCAGACTCAGTGCTCAGAGCTGGGTTTTTTTAACCAAGTGGCAATAACACCGATTCTTGTCGTCGGGAGTGCAGGGCCAGTGGGGGACTGTGTTCCCCACTGTGCCCTGCCCCTTCTCCCCACGGAGACAGTGCTGAGGGGAGAACCAGCTCCCTCCAGCACCATATCTTGCTCTCCCCCATGCTCTCTCTCTCTGATAGAGGCAGCGAGGCGGGAGGCAAGCAACTAGTTGAGTCACTAGTCGACTAGCCGATAGTTGACCAGTCGCTTACATCACTAACATCCCTAATGTCGGAACAGGCAGGGTTGAGCCAAACATGCTGATGGAAAGCGAGAGCGTGTGCAATGAGAGGGGGTTGGGAAATGGACCGACAGGTAGAGGGAGGGAAGCCATAGAATCGCAGAACACTAAAACTGGAAGGGACCTCGAGAGTCATCGAGTCCAGCCCCCCGCCCTCACAGCAGCACCAAGCACCATCTACATCATCCCTGACAGGTGTCTGTCTAACCTGCTCTTAAATATCTCCAGAGATGGAGAGTCCACAACCCCCCTCGGCAATTTATTCCAGTGTGTAACCAGCCTGACAGGTAGGAAGCTTTTCCTAATGTCCGACCTAAACCTCCCTTGCTGCAGCTTAAGCCCATTGCTCCTTGTCCTGTCCTCAAGGATCAAGGAGAACAATCTTTCTCCCTCCTGCTTGTGGTGTCCAAGCTGGGAGGCCTTGTTGTGGCCATTCGTTTAGTCTCAGAGGAGAGAACCACAAGAGGAAGGGCCTGTTGTGGCCCCTCTATTCCGTGGACCTGACATGAAGGGAGGCCAGGAACCAAACTGGGCCGTGGAGAAGGCCCAGCGTGGCTGAGGGGGATGAGGCGGTGGAGCGCCGTAGGCTGCGAATGAAACGCATGCTGATACAGTGGACTGGTGCCTGGAGGAACCTCGCCGTGGTCAGTTACACCAGGGGAAATCTGGTCAAGGGTTTCCTGTGTCCCAGGCCGCAGCTGCATGGGAGTCCTGCTGCAGATGAGCCCAGCGCACCTGTTTGGAGCAGCCTGGTGGCACGCAGCTCCACCTGTCACTGTGCTAAAGAACGAAGGCAGGAGGGAAATTTCGGTGCCCTCATGAGACCCTACCTAGCCCCCTGCATCTTCTAGGATGCTGGACAACTGCCCAGTGAGTCTTGCGCTCTTCTTTGAGGTCCCCCCCGTGTTCTCCTGGCAGCCTGGTACTCTCCGGCTGCATTAGTCGGTGCAGAAATCAGCAGGGTTTCACTGACTTAAACCCCACCTGGTCTCTGCAGGAGCTGGCACTGCTGGGAGACTCGTCAGATGCAAGTGCCACCCAAATGCTGGTGTCTTGGCACCAAGCAAGGGGGTGACTTCAGGCCCTGTCTCGCTGCCCCTAGCGGCTGAGATGACCTGTGCTGGCAGTAAGCAGCTACAGCGCTAAGAGCTGCAGGGTTCAAAGTGCTTCACAAACAGTCCCCTAGGAGCTACCTGATCACTGAGCTGCAGCCTGGTTTGGGGGGTGGGCCTGGGGCTGTTGAAAGCTGGTGGTGAGGCACCAACATGTGCCTGTAGGTGAAGAGGTGATCGGGGAATCTTAAACTCGAGGGCCCTAGTGAACATGTGCACAGAGGACACAGGACTTGTCTGAAAGTTCCCCATGTGATGTCAGGCCAGCTGGGCCAGGATTCAAACCTCTGGCTCTAGGCAACCTCACCGCTCACAACCCAGAACACAGACGAGGCAGGTGAAATTTTGGCTCCGTTTTAACTCAAGTGGGTCTTGCCTCCAATTCACTGGGGCCAGAATATCCTAGAATCCCAAGGCTGGAAGAGACCTCAGGAGTCATCAAGTCCGACCCCCTGCTCAAAGCAGGGCCAGTCCCAACTAAATCAACCCAGCCAGGGCTTGGTCAAGTCAGGATTTCAAAACCTCTAGGGATGGAGATTCTACCCTCTCCCTGGGGAACCCATCCCAGCGCTTCCTCACCCGCCTAGGGAAATGGTTTTCCCTAATATCCAACCTAGACCTCTCCCACTGTAACTTGAGACTATTGCGCCTCATTCCACCATCTGTCACCGCTGAGAACAGCCTCTCTCCTTCCTCTTTGGAACCCCCTTCAGGAAGTTGAAGGCTGCTCTCAAATTCCCTCTCCCTCTTCTCTTCTGCAGACTGAATTAAGACCAAATCCCTCAGCCTCTCCAATGTGTCCACTTCCTTTCTGTAGTGGGGGGGCCCAGAACTGGACACAATACTCCAGATGTGGCCTCACCAGAGCCAAATAAATGGGAATAATCACTAGATCTGCTGGCAATGCTCCTAATGCCCCCCAATATGCCATTAGCCTTCTTGGCTACAAGGGCGCCCTGTTGACTTGTATCCAGCTTCTCATCCACTGTATCCCCAGGGCCTTTTCTGCCAAACTGCTGCTTAGCCAGCCGGTCCCCAGCCTGTACCAATGCTTGGGATTCTTCCGTCCCACGGGCAGGACTCTACACTTGTCCTTGTTGAACCTCATCAGATTTTACCTGATAGTTCTGTGGCTGTCACTGTAGTGCCTTGGTGCGTGTCTGTACCACAGTAAGAGACCCATAGCGCAGCTGCAGCTGTCTGGGGCTTGCAGGGGCTATACGATTGCTGTGTAGATGTTTGGGCTTGAGCTGGAGCGGGGGCTCTGAGGTGCCGTGATGTGACGTGCTGCAGGATAAATTGCCAGGGAAGCAGCCTGTGCCAATGTCTATATTCTTTTCTTGCTGACCTGGCCATGTTGCTGCGCACCAGCTAAACTGCTGCCTAGTTATACTCCATGTTGGCTCATCATTGCCCCTCACATTGCTCTTAGTCCTGGCCTGGAAGGTGCAAAGGTGCCTCTTTAACTGGATTTGCTAAGTCAGCATGAGCCCTGGAGGGGCTCTTACCTCCGTTTGACTGGCCTGTTACATTGGCTTGGCCTTGGAAGCCCTCCAAGCTGACTTGATTTTGAGTACCTTGCTCCAGCTTAAACCAGGTTAGCTTAAACGGATTCATGTTTGTGTAGACACGAGGATGAAAGATGGCAAGAGCTAACCAGCTCTTCCCCAGTTGGTACCCATTTTATAAGCCAGAATGATGAATGGACACTTCTGGGACACGTCAGTCTAGGAGTTGGAAAGCCCCCCCCCCGCTGAGCTCTTAAAGGAAATAAAGTTCAACTTTCATGTTGTGAAAAATGCATCCACGCTAATGTCCTTGTGGCTCTGAAGCAGAAGGAATTTTATAATTGCTGGGATAGAGAGTAAGACAGAGAATATCTTAATCATCATCATCATCATCATAATCAACACCATGGGCTCAGCACTCATTGGTGTCCGATGCCTTCTTCACTATTTCCTTCCATCTTTAGTGGCTTAGTTTCTGTAGACTAGCTCTGCACCAGTCTACCATATCATCTACTCATTCTCTGTGAGGTCTGCCTCTCCTATTCAGACCATCCATTATGCCGAATACCAGGGTCTTAACTTTTCGCTCATTGTTCATTCTGCAGATAAGCCTGAATAGCTGTAACTTCCATTGTATAGCCTTCTGCAGTAGGTTCTCTTTCGGCTGTATCTTCCTATATAATTCCTCGTTGGTGACCACTTGCATCCACCCTATTTTCGGGCTCTTTCTGTAACTTCTCTCGAATGTCAATATCCTTCTCTTCGAATCTTTTATCATCACCCATGTCTCACATCCATACAACATGCTGCTAAATAGACACGTTTTCAAGACACTCCGCTTCGTTCCTAAGCTAATTGCTTTACTTTTCCAGATCTTATCCATCACCTTCAAACTCGCTCTTGCTTTCGCTATTCTAGTCGCTATTTCCTTCTTACAGTCTGATCATACGTCCTGTTGCTCCTCAAATACGTGATCTTCTCTACGTTCTCTAGTTCGATCCCATCTACACTGTTCTTCTTTCCTATTTCCTTATCTCCAAATACCATTGTCTTCGTTTTATCGATATTCATAATCAGTCCATATCGCTTCCCTTCCTCATTTATCACCTGCACCGTTCTCGGTAGCATCTCTTCATCTTCCTCAATGATAACTCTATCCTCCGTGAAGCTCAAGTTGTTAATTCTCGTCTCATGCACTAATATCCCTTTTACCTCTTACTTGATCTTGTCCATCGCGCTCTCTAGGTGCTTGATGAAGATACTTGGCGATATCCGATCTCCTTGTCTGGTACCTCCACTCGTTCTAAACCAACTTCCCAACTCTCTGCACATTCCCACCGCTGCCTATTGCCAGATGTGGTTGCCTCCTCTCAAAGTCATCTTGGTATTGGGGGGGGAAGTTCAGAAAAGGGCAACAAAAATGATGAGGGCTTGGAACGGCTGCTCTATGAAGAGATGAAAAACTCTGTTCATTCTTTCTGGGACACCTAGCATTGGCCGCTGTCAGCAGACACGACACTAGGCTTACATGGACCTTTGGTCTGATCTCGTCTGGCTGTTCTTAGAATGAGCCGCTCATGGTCACAAGTCAGCTGATTAAAAGGTGGCAAACTCCACAGCAGTACACCGCACCTGTGTCGTTAGACCATCGAAGTTGCCACAAAAGTAGCAAGTTCCAAAAGATCCTTCTGTGGATAACTCCGGAGATTCTGGTTACCGTTTAGGTTAACAGACCGGAAGGGGTATTAACCCTGGTGCTTCAGGCTTCAGTTGTGATCAGGGGATTGATTATTCCTCCTCCACCTGCTGTGGGTTTCTCTGAAATGTGCTGGCTGCTGCCAAAACCAGGAAATGGGCCAAGATGGCCCATGAGTCCAGTCCGGTAATTGCTTCAGGAACCAAATGGCAGTGTAGACTAGAGATAGCAGAGCGCAGCAGGAGCATGTGAACGGTGCAAAGACACCCCCAACCCTAAAGATGCTAAACAGGAGCTGGCATCCCATTTTTCCAGCATCTGCTCTCTTGAAATTGGTGATTAAGCCAGCTAATTGCAGGCGTGCGTGGGTGGGAATGCGAGCTTGGCTCTTGGCATGAAAAGAATGGGGGAGGGCCTGCAATCCAGAGTGGGGGCGAGGGGCTGGAATAAACAATGGTTAGTGGAAGGGAAACTGGCAGGGGTTGGACAAGAGGCTTAAAATAAAGCCAGGAAAGGGGTAAGTCACAAAACAAGACCCTGGGTCAGCTGCCTTTCTGGTGCACCCTTCCCTTCCTTTGCTTGAGTCATCCTGCCTAGTCAGTTGGGCTCCACAGGTGAGGCGGGCGAGGCCCTTTGCTACTTTAAAAATTACTCCTAGCAGGTCTCCAAGTGCTTCAAGTTCCCTACCATCAGCCTTGTTTTACAGTTGGGGAAACTGAGGCACGTCGCTCAGACCTGGGAATAGAACCGCCTTTCTCCCCCGGCCAGTGCCCTGGCTTCCTGTCGTAGCGCGCCCAATGCGCACGACACGCTCCAGCGCTCCCTCTTCTGGGCCTGCACGGGCTCTGTTGCCAGGGGCTGGGCGGAAGATGAGGTGCCTCTGATGGGACGCCGAGGTGCCAGGGGTTGGAGCCCCCACGGCCCAGCACTGACTTGCTCCTCCTGTTTTCCAGCTTGTTGGGCTGCTGCTGATCGGGGTGGCAGCCTGGGGGAAAAGCTTTGGCATCCCCTCCACCGTGGGCGTCTTCCTGCTGCTCATCGCCATCGTGGGGCTCATTGGGGCGATCAACCACCACCAAGTCATGCTCTTCTTTGTATCCTTGCCAGCTGCCTGGGGGCCGGCCCCTGACTCCCGCGCTGCCAATCCTCCCCCAGGCCCAGCCGCTGGGCCGAGCAAGCATGGGGCCAGAGTAACCTCTGGGCTGTGTCTGCCCATCCCACTGTTGCGATCATCAGGCATCTCCATGAGGGGGAGCCCTAGGGTAGCCAACTCCTTCCCGGAGCAGGGTGGCTAAAACTCCAGCTGCTCTGTGCTCTAGCTGTGGGTAGTAACAGTTGGGAACCAACCCAAGAGGCTGGAAGCGGGAGATTTGGTCCTTCAGCACCTGCTAAGGGATCTCGCTCACTACGCCGAAGCTGCAGCCTTGTCGGAACAAGCCAGACCCCACGTTGCCTGCAGGGAAGCTTTAGGGTGCGGATCTATGGCCTGTGCTGTGGACGGCCATGGCTCTGACATGTTTATAAGGAGGGGGCACGGATCCTTCAGGATCCGCGTTCTCTCAAGTGCGGGGGGAGGCTTGGTGGGAGCCGTGGCTGAGACTGGGGTGGGCAAATACCGGCCCGTGGAGCGGATCTGGTCTACCGGGGTTGGCCGTGGGCAGGCCCCCACCCTGTTGTGTGCCCATGCAGGGGTAGGGGCTCCTGGGGGCCGCGGATCTCCATTTCTGGCGGGCGCTGCGATCGCCCAGGCCTGCAGAGCTGCAGGTAAACAGCGGCAGCAGCCCAGCCGGGGTAACCCTGATGTACTGCTACCGTTTTCTTGCCCACCCCCGGGCTAAGAGCAGGTGGGTGATGGCTGGACCGGGGCGGGGGTGCTGGGAGCTGGAGCGGGGCTGGCTGTGGGTTAGCGCAGGCTGGTGCTGTTCAAACTCTCACTAGACAAAGCGCTTGAGACCTGCAGCCGGCCCAGGGAGGCAGCCCTGCGCTCAGGCGTGGGGCGCTCAGAGGAGCAGCAGCCCGGGGAT